AAGACTATAATTCGGATCCTCACGCCTTACCTTAGCTTATTTGGAGAGAGACTTGACCTCTTTGGTCGATTACCAACCGTGGAGCTCTGATCCGGCTGCATCACAAGCACGAGAGTATAATCACTCAAACTCAAAACTTTGTCAATTAAGCCCGGTCCGTCCTGCATCTGATAAACTGTCAAGCTTGGTTCGTCCCGCACTTTGCATGCTTTAAGCCCTGTCCATCTAGCACATGAAGCCTGGTCCGTCTAGAAAATCTACAAAACCAGTTTTCAAACCAAAGTCCGATCCGATCGGCAACCGTAAGCCCACTCCCTGAGTGGCACCATCAAAATCCTATCATCCTAATAGATGGTAGAACTTCGTGCGCCTTGATTCTCATACAAACGAGGTACGAAGGCATACCTACTGATTTCAGCCTAGGTAGCGGGCTCCCAACCAAATTGACCGGCCAGAATTTAGGGAAATGTGTCGCATGACCTAGAATCCTCGATAAACGAGACTAGAGTTGGGTCCCCTCTGAATTACACACTTTTCAATAATTTATGCTTTTAATGCTGTCTATAATTGCCATGCATTATTAGTATAGACTATGCATTAATAAATTGACATTCATAAAAAACACTGATTTTTGATTTCTTAATTATGAACCAAATCGTTGATTCATTTTGAAAGAAGCCAAAAACCTAGTCCCTGAACCCAATGATTCGAGGTTAGTGCATTTTGTCCTAAAAGGCAAACTAAAATGGATTTCCAACACGAGGTTCTTTCCTTAATCTTTTTTCGAAAATAAAAACAAATTAAGATGGCGACTCTAACACATCACACGCCTGTTAAAGCGCTCCAAAGAGCCAACCCACACTTAAGCATTAAACCAAGCCACAATCAACCTAATCAAACAAAAGAGAACCGTAAGGAGTTCTTTCCAGTTTCCGTGACGAACCGACCAATGGGGCTATCTGGTTAGACTTCATCCTTTGGATCTTTCCCATGGCGCTCGGAAGGGGCTCACATATGGGTCCTTTTCTTGGACATTAAGTCAGGGTCTAAATAGGAAGATAGATACCGTTCATAAGAGTTTATATGCAAATTCTATTTTAGTCCCTAGCGAATATTTATATTCTATCAATTTCCTATTATGTCCATCTTAAATAACACATGAACAATTATTATATTAGAATTTTAAGTAAAAATTAATGATGGTTGTTAAAAATAAGATAAAAAATTTAATAAGGGTTATAATAAACAATTTAAAGATCGACTACAATGTAAAAAAAGAAAATGGATTATCTTTTAAAACAAATAAAAAGAAAAGATGAATTATTTTTTTGGGACAAAGGAAACCAAGAAAGAAATGGGAGAAAGAAAAAGATGCACAAAGACACGGAAGGAAAGGGGCCTTCACAGGAACCTGGGTTTTCCCATACAAATTTGCTTCATTTCTTATAGATATTACCTCCGGAACTCGTATTACATGTTTCTTATTTAGGCAATAAAAAAAATTATATATAACGTGTGAATCTTCCATTTATTGTCATCGGCAAATGGACTAGTTTTTTAAAATGTCATACCAATTATGGAGAGCGTATGAATCTTCCATTTATTGTCACCGGCTAGTAGACTAGTACATCGTTTATTATTATTATTATTGTATTTTTTTAATATAAAAATCTCAAAAGAAAAAAAAAGCTTAAAACTATAGTTTTTATAAATAAATATTTATAATAGTTTCCAATTTAACAAAAGAGGAAAATTGTTAAATCAGTTTGATTAATATACACTTTTTTTTTTAAAGAAAGAACAATAATACTAAATTCTTTTCATAATACTTGTCACATTTGAGAAAATAATTTATTCCAAAATAATTGTCACATTTGTGATTTCAAGGAGTAATGAATTTTTTTTTTCATGTTTACACTTTGTAAAACAAAGAAAAGTTTTACAGCAAAGAAAAAATGGAAGAAAGAAATTTGTAATATTAAAAGCTTTTTGGAGATGATTATAAACTGCTGATTACATGAATTATTTATAGCAGAAGGCTTTAACTAATCTTCCACAAAACTCTCCACTATGAACTATACTCACCAAAATAATAGAAACAAATTAACTAATCTTCCACAAAACTCTCCACTATGAACTATACTCACCAAAATAATAGAAACAAACTGACAGTGCTAAGAACAAGTCTTCACAAAAATTAGTAAACTTATTGACTCAGTAAAAAAGAAAAATTAAAAAATTAATTAAATCTTGCAGTAAGTTGCACTAATTTTTAATACTCCCCCTTAGTGCAAGCTTACTATCAACAACTCCAAGAGCATCTCGGAAAAGCTGAAACTTAGGCTTCACCAAAGCCTTCGTAAAAATATCGGCAACTTGCTCACTTGTACGAACACCTATCAATTCAATCTCTTCATTCAAGACTTTCTCCCGAATAAAGTGATGTCGCACTTCAATATGCTTTGTCCGAGCATGAAATATTGGATTTGAAGCTAATTTTATTTTAGTGCACTTTCGTTATCACACTTGATTTTTACAGCATAATTAACTGATGTAACATGTCCTTAAATCCAACCTCTTTAACCAAATGCTCTTTAACCAAATGCACTCTTGAGCAGCCATGGTTGCTGCTACATACTCTGATTCTGTACTAGAAAGAGCCACAACGTCTTGCTTCTTGCTACTCCAAGAAATTACTGCTGAACCTGTATTAAAGCAATAGCCAGAGGTTGAGTGACGATCACTTGCATTAGCCGCCCAATCTGCGTCTGTAAATCCAACCAACAAAAATTTTTCACATCTCTTATACCAAAGTCCATGGCTAAGAGACCCTTTCACATAACACAATATTCTTTTTGCAGCATCTAAATGGGAAGTTCTTGGATTCTGCATAAATTGAGAAACAACAGAAACCACAGAAACCGAGAAAGAAATCTCAGGTCTTGTGATGGTTAGATAAATCAAACAACCAACAAGCTGTCGAAATTTCTTGGCATCTTTCAACAATTTTCCTTCATCTTTTGTTAACTTCAGATTGGGTTCCATTAGAGTAGCCATTTCTTTCGACTCCCCCATGCCAAAACGCTCCAAGAGACTTTTTGCGTATCCTTTTTGAGAAACAAAATAACCCAGATCTGATTTCTCCACTTCTAAACCAAGAAAACATCCAATTTCCCCTAGATTTTTCATCTCAAAATGAATGGACAAGTCTTTTCTTAAGTTAGAAACAAAATGAAATGTGACAATTCTTCATTTTCTTTGAAGTAGATTAAATATTTCATGATACTCGATATTTTCTCCGAACTTATGATCAGTACTGCTCTGAACTCAACGGGCTACAAATATGCAAGCATGAAGCATGGTATTTGATCCTCTAATTATACTGCACTTGTTTAGAATAAACCACAGATATTCTGAATCAGAAAAACTCTAAAGTCTCACAAAAGATGAGATTATATTATGATGACGATCTTACCCATACCATGCCTCTTGACCGGCTCTCCTCTAAAGCGCAATAGAGCCGGACTTTTTCGACCATACGATCCACCACCTCATGGTTTTTGGAAACTATGGTTCATAGACAAACAACTCCAGGACGCGTACTGTCTTCCACTAAACAAACTTACTCGGATCCAGTAATTCAGAGCACTTATTACCGACTTAAAAAGTAAAATGGCCGCATTACTTTACGTCAAGGATATGCCCATGAATTATCCATGCGCTATTAAACAAACTGCAGGATGTGATGGTAAGTCTAGGTATCCTCACGCAGTCTTCACCCATCTTTTGCATTATCCCGGAACTGAAGTGTTCCTTCATAATCATAAAACACCATATTCGACAATGAAACTCCACAACGGACAAACAAGAACGAGCTCTTTAAAACTTCGCTCGAATAAGAGGTTCTACCATTACCACACTATTTTTTCCTACTTAACCCGAAGATGACCCATTTCAAAGTGACCGGAACACACTCTTTCTGGGTTATAGGCACGCAGCATCCGCCAAAGTACTTCATTTTTGACGTGTATAGAGCATTCCCAATCTCTTCCCTGACTATATCTTTGCTCTTTGCCAAATTGGTCTGAGTCTTTTGCGCCTCAAAAACAACCTTTGCTTGGTTCCTTCTATGAAGATTAAGAACCCCCCTGTCATTGTAAAAAAACATGAAACAAAGAGTGGAACAACTAAGCAATACTTTAAGTTCTCCACGCTACAGTAACATCTTTATAAGATAGCATTTGGGTGATGGCGTTTCTCCTCTCGTCTCGGGACTTCTTCTCGAGAATTCCACACCTTCTGCCTCAGTGAAGATCCATTTTCTCACATCTACCATTTCTGAATTGCCTCGTACTGATTCAGATTACCATCTTACTCCATTTCAAAAGGGGTGCCTGAATATTTTCACTTCCAGGTAAAAAAGCATGATTCTAAAAATTGAACCATGAACCATCATCCAAGAACAACTTTTCTTGAACAGAGAAATAACGATGAGATTTCATCAAATACCAATTCTCTTGAAGTAGGTAAATCTTTCGTTTCTGGATCCCTATACACCTCCAATACCTTTCCTGTGAGAATCATAGCCAACAAAACGCATTTTCTTGCTTTCGGCGGTTTTTTTTTCCAAAGTTTGGTCTGAGCTTTGGGAACTATGAACATAAACAAAATGGTAACCAAATACCCGAAAGTAAATTCCACATTTGCGCTTCTCAACCCATATACAATCTTCAAAGGAAGATTTTGTTTGTACCCTGGCAAGACCGGCAGTCGGTTTGCTACATTGAACATTGCACACTGAAAAGCTTCGCCCAAAAGCTCGTCGGGGAAGGTTTTCATGCAAACCAATGAAAGAACAGATGAAGTGAGAAAAGGTCAAGCTTTCATTTCGGAACTCCATTCTTTTGAGGAGTGTCTGGGACAAGTCATTTGCCCGAAGAAATCACCGTTGTCGTGACCAATATTGAAAAGAAAATCACCCGACTAAGAAACAAACTCTTCCGCCATTGTCACGTCCCGCAAGACATTTAATTTGCTTCCCAAATTCTTTTTTCAACGGCTTCTATGACTCTATAAACTTAGATAGGTCACTTTTGTTCTTTCAAAAATTTCGCCCACGTGGAACTCTCGAGTTGATCATCCACCAACACCATACATACGATGTCCACTATAAACTCGATGTTTCATTGGTCCCATCAAATCCTGTTATGAACCAGCTCGAAACAACAAAAGATTTTTGAATTTGACGTCCCTCTTGAAAGGAAGACCGATGAGATTGCCAAAGTGTGAACAACCTTGACCAAATTAAACATCTTCACGAAACATCTTTAGAATCGGCAAACCATCTACTAGCTTGTCGTGAGAGATTAGCTTGTGTGAAGAGATCTGTTGTAGTAGCTGATAGCCTACATGACCCAACCGAGCATGCCAGATTGCAGCATTATCGGTTTGGCTTGTTTTCTTCACATAAGCTTCTCCTGCCGACAAAACAAACAAACGCCCTTTCTTTTCTCCAGAAAAAATAACATCAGCTGATATTTCTTTTAAATTATCAAGAACTTTTACATCTTTTGGGCCAAATAAGACATATTTTCCGGATTCTGTATTTTGAGGAACAGAAACCAAATTTCTAGTCAAACCTGGAACATGATAAACATCATCCAACTTCACACCTTCTGTACCTGCAACATCAATTATAACAGCTCCTTCATTTGCTACTGGATGAGTAGAGTCATCAGCTGTTACAATGACCCGATCTCCATGGTGTTCATGCATTTCTGAGAATAAGGAGTCATCCCCTGTAACATGGTTTGAACAACCAGAATCCACACAACCAGAATCCACAATCCACTTCTCCTTCTTTTGAGCTGGCTGTTGTTCAACTGCTTTAACAGAAAAGCAATGTTCCCATTTGAGTTGGTCATCTTCTCCACTAGCAGATGCAGCATTGGCCTTGACAAGTTTCACCCTGCAATACTTCCTGATATGCCCAGGTTTACCGCATCTGTAGCATGTGACAGATTTCTTCTCTTGTGGTTTGTGACAGATTTCTTCTCTTGTGGTTTGGCAACTTTTTCTTCAGTTGAATCTCCTTTTGCTGCAGAATCATCTTTGGTATTTTTGTTCCCATATGAATTCCTCTTATTCGGCTTTCCTTTTGAGAAAAGAACAGCATTTGAATCAAAACTTTTTGCCATTTGTTTTGCAAGAGCTTCTTGATTAGAGAGTAAATTCTCTAATTCTTCAACAGAAGGTTGTTTCGACCATCCTTGAATAGAAGTAATAAAGGGACCATACTCCTTCTTCAAGCCACAAATAAGGAAGCGACGTAGTCGGGATTCACTAATTTTCTCTTCCTCATCTATTTCTGAAATTTCAGAACAGATATTTTTAATTCGCAAAAAATATTCTGAAAATAAAGTATTCTGAAATTCTGACATACCCCTGTTTGAAGTCTCCCAATTCATTTTCCAAGAGTTTCGCACCTTGCTGTATTTCTTTTTGGTTAAAGCTGTATTCTTTTTGGTAAACACCTTTTCCAGTGTTTTCCAAACTTCACTTGGAGAATCCATATCACGAACATGATCAATGTGCTCTTTGCTTATTGACGTTCTTAAAGCATAGAGAGCCTTTCCACATTTGATCTTCCACTTTCGTCGTAAATCGGCATTCTCAGGAGTCTCTGCAGGCGTGGTATCACTATCAGCCACCAATTCCCACAGATCCTGACCTTGAAGGTATGCCTCCATACACATTCTCCAGTACTTATAATTGCTACCTACAAGTTTCTCCATCCCATTCTGCATAATTCCGTTGTTTGCCATCTCCATTAGTGCAAACAAAAAAAAAACTTTTCTTTTAACACTCAAACTAAGTTGAATGACAGGCTCTGATACCACTTTGATAGGACCACGCGTACCATCCAACCCCGAATTAGTATGATATTGTCCGCTTTGGGCCAAGCCCTCACGGATTTGTTTTTGGGCACCTCTCAAAAGGCCTCATACTAATGGGTTGGCCTTCAAAAGGCCTCATACTTAATGGGTTGGGTTTGAAACCATTATATTTGGTCTCCACTTCTTCTTTATCCGAATGTGGACTTGGAGGATATCCCCAACACAACCTCCCCTCCAACCCAGGACCACACAAATCGTGATCCCCTCCAGGATAATCTGCCCACCATCTGTGTACCGCCGCTATAACTTTGCGGGACACACCCGCCCGGGACCCTCCTCTTGTCCGGGAAGACTTTCGGGAATCAAGGCACCACTTGCCAGATCTTCTTCTGGTTTGGTCCTGTTGTTACAACGTCACACCGAGATTTTTCTCACATCTGCGCAGTTCACACCCACTCCGAACCAGGGACTCTGAATACCCATAAAACAAAGAAAAGTTTATACAGCAAAGAAAAAAAATGGACAAAGAAAGAAATTTGTAATATTTAAAAAGCTTTTTGGAGCGAGATGATTATAAAACTGTGATCTACATGAAATTATTTATAGCAGAAGGGCTTTAAACTAATCTTCCACAAAACCTCTCCACAATCATGAATAATATCACCAAAATAATAGGAACAAAGTTCGATCAAGTGCTAAGAACAAGTTCTTCCACAAAAAATTGTGCTAAGAACAAGTCTTCACAAAAATTAGTAAACTTATTGACTCAGTAAAAAAGAAAAATTAAAAAATTAATTAAATCTTGCAGTAAGTTGCACTAATTTTTAATACTTTGTATATGACAAATAATTATTACTTCAATTTAATGATTTTCTTAGACAATCAGTATTAAATTAAGAACAATATAGTTAATTTATTTGATAATTTATTGTAATTTAGATAAATTTAATAGTTTTCTTAAGAGTCGTGAAATAAATAATACTCCCATCTCAAAAAAATAGTCCAGTTTTCCTTTTTGGTTTGTTTCAAATTATAGTGCACTTTCATTTTTTGCATTATAGTTATTTTTGAAAGAGCATTATAGTTAATCATTAAATTATTTATTATACTCTTATTAAATTTTATCTGATTTTCAATAACCCTTATTAATTTTTATTTAATATTTTAATATAATAATTACTCTACATTATTTTAGATGTGCATAATAAAAAAATTATATAAATAAAAAATTATCCTTTAATTATAATAATCAATTTATTTTTTAATCTATGTAAAAAAAAAAATGCTAAAAAAAAAAATATATAATATATATATATAACTATCAAAAAAAATATATATATATATATATATAACTATCGCTTTTAGAGACAAGGAAGCAGTATGGATAAAAGTTAGTAAGAAAGATAGTCTTTTAATTTGTCATGCCTCTTTGTACCCCATCGGCTCTTGTCCTGAAATCCTCGTTATGTCCAAAACGAGGCATCTATCTATAGACAAATAATGCCGGAGTCAAAGTCAGAAAATCATGAAAGCATTACGCTAATCGTGCGGTTGACAAGCGAACAATTTGATGGAGCGAGAAACACCATAACAGCTCCCAAGAACAGTTAAAAGCGAAATGACGTAAGTGTACGATCTCCAAGCAATAGCATGATTCGATATTATTATGCACAAAAAGCACATACTCAAAGAGAGAGAGAGAGAGACCCAACCAATGAACCAAGGCATCTCTCTCGCATTGTTCTAGAGAGAGAAAGGGAGAGATGAAACTTATCACAGAACGGACCGTGGGTGGTGCGGCTGGGGTGGGGGGATGCGACGGTGCAGAAGGAGAAGTGGTCGTGGTGGGGATGAAGTTCGATGCAGAGAGTAGAGAATTGCTGACATGGGCACTAATGCAAGTTGCAAAGCCAGGTGACCTTGTCATTGCTCTTCACGTTCTTGATTCTATCGCTGGTTGGTAACAGTAACGCCATTACTGCCCTCTTTCTCTTTCTGTTTCCTTTTACGTATGTATATTATGAAAAATTTTATGAAAGTGATTTCTTCTTCGGTGTTGGAATTTGCAGGAGGCACAGCATCACTTCTTTCTCTGGTGAAGGCATTTGATTCCCTGTTGGCAGTGTATGAAGGTTTCTGCAACTTGAAGCAGGTTTTTATTTATTTATTGATTCATTTCTGGGAAAATGGTGGGGGTTTTCACCAATTTCACGATTCTAGTTTTACTTTTAAAAAAAAAATTCATGGTTCAATTGATTTTGATTCCATTGTTTCTAAGACTTGGTGATTTGTCATTACAGGTAGATTTGAAGATACAAGTGTGCAGAGGGTCATCTGCCAAGAAAATTCTGGTAAGAGAAGCAAAATCAAGTTCTGCAGCTAAGGTTATTGTGGGGACTTCTAAGGCCCATCACAAAATCCATTCATCAACCTCAGTGGCAAAGTATTGTGCCAGAAATTTGTCAAAGAGTCTTTCTGTTTTTGCTGTTAGTAATGGCAAAATCATATTCCAAAGAGAAGCAACTGTTCATCATCTACGAGGTTCAATTCTTTGTTCTTCTAGATTTTAGATTTTCATTATCACAGTTTGATGCTTAATTTTGTTGTTTTGTGCTTGAACATGTTGTTTGAATAAAATAGACTGATTATTGGTTTCTTGATTTGGGATCGTTGAGCAGTTATATCCTAAGTGATAACTGATGCAACAAATTTATGGTGGCAGATAAATTGAACCAAAAGAGTCACAATTGTACACATGAATCCCAGAACAAAATTTCTGAAGATAGTCCTTTACAGTTAGCATTCCCTGATAATTCTGGAACTGATTTGCTCGACGAAACACATGAGGATGGTGATGTTGATAATTCATTGGCTTTGGTACCAGTCCAAACAAGTGAGGCTGTGTCAAATTTCAGTTCTGCTGTGGTTGAAAGACCACCAGACTGTAAAAAGGGTTGGTCAATTCTTCGCCGGATATTTCTACCCAAGCGAAGACACAGAGAGAAAACTAATGTAAAAAAGAAATCTGCAGTTAAAAGGGTATTGAAATTGCCAAGCTCAAATTCTTCATCAGTAGTGTATCCTGATAAGAAACAGAACATGTCATACATGAAAGAAGATCACTGTTCCAATTTGGAAGGAGATTGTGGAGCAATTGTGCCTATGATGGGGCCTAAGGTGGCTTGGTCTCCCATCTCACCCTGTCATGGTTCAAATGCCCTTCCTGAAGAGTTGAAAGATCTACACGAGAAATACTCATCATCATGTAGATTATTCAGCTATGAGGAACTTTGTTTGGCCACATCTAATTTCATGCCTGGTTTGTTTTCTTGATCACTAATTTTCACCTGGGCACATCTTGTTTATTTTCCTTATTTAGTGTTGAATTATATACCTTGTTTATTTTCCTTAATTTAGTGTTTGAAATTATATATATATCTTTAGTATATTATATATAATAATAGTATATATAAGAATATATATTTAATTTTTTTTTTTTTTCAAGAAAAATATTGGTAGGCAAGGGGGGTAGCAGTCATGTTTACAAAGGGTTGCCTTCCTGATTGGTAAGGAATTGGGCAGTGAAAATTTTGAAGCCATCTTGAACAATGTTAAAAGAGTTTTGTTGCGGAAATCGAGATCATTACTACTTTGCGTCCACAAAAACATTATCTCCCCTCTTTGGTTTCTGTTTGAGAATGGGACAAATTTTAACTCCTTGGTTTAGCGATTTTTTATCAAGGGAAGTGTAGAAGAGAATCTTCATGTGGTATATGGTTTATCTTTTTTTTTCCATGGGATTTGATGAAAATTGTACATTCTACTATTTAACAGATTCTTATCTTCTAATTGCTCTTTTCTTAATGAAGGTAAATGAAGAAGGATGCAACAACTGCTTTTGGTTGGCAGAGAGATATATAGGGTGGACTGTTGTTAGTAGCCCGAGGCACTTGGACTACCTTACATTTAATCTTTGTGAATCCAAGCCCTGTTATCCACAGGGATGTATAAATCTTCAATACATACTTTTTGGTCCGGAGTGAATTTTTGATACCACTAGGTGCTAAATTTTTTTGAAAGGCTTGTGTTGCCATTTGCTGTTAAGGTTTTCTTTCATGCAATCTGATGGCATTTGATAGTCATGCATAATATCCGTTTTTTTGACTCTTCAGCTATCGGATTTTGGACTAGCTAGTTTGGATTTTGACATCTTCATCCATTAACTTGCACTGATTGTTGGCAGGAACATTCGGGTGAGTAAATTTTCGGTTCTTTCTTTTTTAAGTAGTCATGTCCTAACTATATTTTCTCATTACTGTCAGGAATTTTCGATATAGTTCTGTATTTTTTTTTCCCTTCTATCTGCCAGTTACTTGGACTGCCAGAGTAATTTCCCATGCATGGAATAGTGAGTGAAAAAGTGATAGTTTTTTGCATTTGGTGTTGTGCTTCTTGAGCTTTCTTTCTGGTAGAATTGCCAATTAATGGTGAAACAATTAAAGGGTCGGAGAGTCTTGTTATGTGGGTAAGCTTTTCTACTCCATCTCTTCTCATTTGATGAAATCTGGTCTGTCTTGCTGAGCAGATTGCAGGAGAATGGTTTAACACACAAACACACACACACACACACACACAACAACACACAAGAATTAAATTTTTTACAAGTTTAGCTCGGTGAGCCTATAAATGCACTATTACCAGGCATAGACACAGTCGAGCCTTTTGCCTTAGCTCAAGCTTGAACTCATTTATTAAATAAGCTAGAAAAAATGGCGCTGCAAAGCAAAGCTTTAAATTGAGCCGAGCTTGTAGCCTCAAAAGCAGACTTCGGCTTAATTGTAGTCATATTAATTTTCTTTCAAGTTGTAATGATTGGTTTTAGAGTTGGATTTCCAAATATAGTGGAGATCTCGAATCTAGAATTCTGGGACTTCTCTTCACCTTTCCCCACTAAAAGGCCTTACATTCTTTACATCTTAATGGGTATTTCATTGTGGGAATTGGATTTTGGCATACAGGCAAAGCCAAATTCTAGAAGGTGAAAAGTTTTTCAGTCTTACTCGATCCACATGATTGGAAATGGAAGTAATGATGCATAGATCCAATCATTGAGAAGAATTGGTTTTTGGCTGCAACCTCTGCCATTAGACGGTCGCCGAGACCCTTAAGGCGCACAAAATCAGCCTTGTGAGTAAACTCTTACTGAACAGTTTTTAATTGTAGTTTTTAATATTTTTCTTGATCTTTGTTGTTGAATATTTTCACTTTTCTGTTTAAAGATTGACTTGCTTGTCTCCCAGAGTTGCCTGCAGGTTTGAGCTCTCCAGGGTGACAATGAAGTAAAAATTGGGCAAGACAAGAAGTTAGCACATCAGAAGTTGATGCTGCGATGGGGAAAGTATTTCCTACTAATATCCCAAATCCCACCTTAACAATTGCATTTGCTTGATTGTAGAGAAATGATTCTCTTCGAGACAAGCAGCACCGAACAAGGCATCTCACTGGAGGATTAACTTGCAAGGGAGATGGAGCACGCAACGACAAGCTTTGACTAAACCGTCTGAAAGATATCTGTGTTTAATTTTCGTTCTGTACATGTCCTTTTCTGTTGGTGTCTACACTCAAGTCTGCTTCTTTTTTTCATTTGGGTGGCTAGGTCCTGGAAGAGAGGTTTTGCGAAGAGGTTTGCCCCCTCGACTTTTAGAAGTGTCAGTGTCCATTTATTTTTTATGGGGCTGGTCTTTTATTGAATTTCCTCTGAAATATGGTGGGAGAGTGCATGCAACATGTGTAGCCAAAGAGGCCATTGAGAAATTTTTTGAAGTTATCAAGCCTGAAGATGAATATTATCATTTATCATTACTTATTAGTTTAAAAATTCCTACTTTTTTTTTGGCCCAAAAAAAAAAAAAACAAAAGAAGTATGCAGTTTATATAACTAGCCGTGATTGAGCATGCATTAAATACTTTACTTGCATCTTTTTTTATTTTTATTTCTTAGTAATTCAAAAACAGTTTTTGTTCACTACCCTGGAATTGCAAATATTCCTTTCTGGCTCCTGCTGCCCAATCTTACAAAAAAATATAAGAATAACCAAAACACTTAATAAATCTTATCATTTGGAGATAAAGATCAGGTAATTAACGCCACCTGACAAATCGCTGGAATTCTAATCTATATGAGTCGCAGCTTCGCATCCAAATTAAGTGATCGACAAAGGTGTCGCCAATTAAAATACAGTCATATACAGACATTCACGCCATTAGTGGTAAGCCAACAAAACAACTACTTAATGAGCCTATAGAACTATTCTTTTCTGCTCGATTTTCATGGTCCTCTTTGGAGTAGTCAGGAACATCCCCTAATCTCATTTCATTTTTCCGTGATCAGAGATAGAAGAGTTACGAATTATTACTTACCAAAGGCCAATGACCTTAGTTGTATTGTCACTCAAGGTCATGCATCAGAGATTCTTAAATGGCCTCAGTCCATCAGTATCACTGAATCTAAATGTGAAATTCTTGAAACAGAACGGACACTAGCTGGCAAACTCTGAATCTGGTAGAGAGATAGCAGGACTTCTCCTCTTCCCCTGAAGTCTGATATTAATTCTTGCATGCAGGTTCGAGTGAGATGCGTCTCCCAACTGGGCCAGCACTTCCTTTTAAGGCTTTAATTTCCTGAACTTTCAGAGTTACTGCGAGATGCATAGAACAAACGAGCTGAGTGAGGTCCTTGAAGGTGGATATGTAAGGAGAGAAGTATAAGTTGGATGGTTTTAAGAGAATTTAGTCATCTCGCTTTGTCCCTTTTCGCAATGGATTTTCTCTAGTTCGACTCGTGCAATGGCTTATGGAAGTAACATAATTAGCAACTTCGAGGATGGGCAACCATCTAGCTCACAGAAATTGCAACTGCTGAAGAAAAATTTATCCATTAGTGCGTATTCCTTTTACAGATTTCATTAACAAAAGAATCAATGGCAATGTTGTTGGAGCATGAGCACGGATTCAAGGCAAGCGATAAGTTGTGGGGATTTTGTCAGCTAGGAAAAGTGGGTTAAGGACCTAGCAGCTTCTCGCGAATCAATATGAAAGGTTGAACTTCCACAATGAGAAAACCATGTTCCTTTAAGAGCCCTGGAAAGCAATACTTTATAGGCAGAGGACTCTTGTAAGGTGGGTAAAAGCAACGGTTTCGCCTACTAGTAAAGAGAAGGTAAATGATGAACATCTGCAATAGGGATCACACTGAATTAAGAAAAAATATTATATTAATAGTACCATTAACCCCTGTGCTTCAATTTTTTTCCTAAGTCTTGGAAAATATGAAGTGTTTTGCTCTGCAACTTCTGCCTACATGATAACTAGGAAAATGAAATGCACTTATCAATAAACTAGAGATAGTAAAGAAAAAAAGAGGGAAAGTTAAATGAATATAATAAGATATCAAATGGAGTAACCGCATATGAACTAGCTGGTGCAATATTCAAACCTCATATTAACTAAAAAATTTGATAAAATAAAAAACTCAAATTTGCCCCCTGAATTTTTCACATGTAACAATTTATTTGACTATTGAGCTTTAGGATTGATTTTAACACAACTTTCAACCCATTCTCCCATTATTGGCTGGGGATTCAACACTTGTGCGAGAGACAAATACCAAAAGAAAAGCCAGTGACAAGTGTTTTCTCTCAGCTTAAGGTATATTACCTCATATTACTCAGTTGACATGGATCAATGCCACTAATTTTTAGTTGTTTAAAAAATAGGCTTCAATTGCTTTTTCTGGTTGAAAGTTTCTTGCTAATTGGACCCAGAAAACTCAACTATTGGGTAAATGTACTTCACAATTAAGTTTTTTAAAGAGGCAAAGTTGGGAACATTAATTGCAAACAAACTGAGAAGAAAAAGAAAAACACAGAATGTAAGGTTGATTCCTTTACATCCAAAACAAATAAAGGCAAAATAAAGGCAAGAAATGTCTTAATAAAAGTGTGAATAAGCAAACCTCACAAAATACAATTGTAGGATTTTGAGATTGCACACCTCAAAGCAAGCCATACTTTAAAACATTATCCTTTGCACAAAGAAAAGGAAGCAGTCCAATTTTGGCAAAAATCTAAAAATTCCAAAGAAATCATAGAAACCTCTAACACCTTCAATTATTTAACAAGAAAAAGGCAAAAAATAAGTAAATTGACGGCAAAAATAAAGAAATACGCAAGAGAACCCTTGTTGTCCATTATCAAAATAAGCACTCGAATTCATAACAGAGAGAAAAGAAAGTTTATTAACTCTTGAAAGCAGCGGCGGTGATATCTGGGAGAGAACCAGCCATGGCAATATGAGTATCCATGCT